CTAAGTTGTCTTGTGGTTCTTGTTGTTGTTGTTTGACTTGCATCCCACTGGGATTTTTGCACAGAGCGTTGGTGTACGGTGCTTTTTCTGGAAGACTTTGCAGTTTTTTCCTGGATTTTTCTGTTTGCGCGTAGTCACTTTAATATGTTTTCTTGTTCATGTTTTTGTTTTGTGTTTGTTGCGGTTGCACCCGATTCAAGAGCCGAATGGCTCACAGGGCTATACCTAATAAATGAAACTGAAACTAAAGCTAAGCAGCATTGATCGTTGACAGCGATGGGTGACTACCAGGTTGCCATAGGCAGCAACCGTGCCACGCCGCGCGGTTGACCAGCAGAGGGCAGTGCAGAAACAATTTCAATTCCACATTCAATATTGCACCCACCGTCAACAAGCTCACGGACCGGCCCTGTGAAGTATGGTCAAATGGCCTTCACATCTCGCACGGTGTTTGGGAGGCCGTCACGCAGCAGGGCGAGAATGGGGTCGCGACCGGTAAGTTGAATAAGCATGCACGTCTTCTTGGTTCTTTCGGTAAAGTCACGTAGAAGGGAAGTAATAAAATAATAAAAATAAAACATAATAAAATAATATAATAAAATAATAATATAATAATATAATAACAATATTATAATATAATATATAATGTATTATGTTTTCTTTCTATTATTTTATTACTTCCCTTCTACGTGACTTTACCGAAAGAACCAAGAAGATGAATCCCTGCAGTCACGAAAGCTTTAAATCGAAATTTAAGCATGCATGTCGCCATGCCTCTCACGTAACGCGAGGTTGCTGAGTGGCGGCGTGAGGCTTGGGGTGTGAGGATGGGTGGGTGAGCATCGCACGGCTGAACACGCGAGTCGAGTCCATTAGTCTAACTCAGGGATCGACAAGCAAATTCACAAGAAGGGACACTTTTTTTTTCGAATTCGGTATAACAAAACAACTCAACTCAACGTGTCAAAATTTCACTGTATGGTGAATACGATAGGGCTGAACGATTAATCGATTTCAAATAGAAATCGCAATTAGATATTTTCCCCAAATCTTGACTTAAAGCTTTCGTGACTGCAGGAACCTATCTACGTGACTTTTACCGAAAACCCCAAAGAATATTTCCCCAAATCGTTCAGCGCTAGAATACGAGACAGCGGTGATCCTTGATAATAATAAGTAATTTTTTATTTTTTATTTAACACACTTTAATGAAATGTACTAGTAGTAGCAGAACTCCACGACTCCAGGAAGTGGCTAAATAATGTCACGAAGCAGTCATAGCAGAGTCACCACCGCATGCTGCACCGGAGCTGAAGATCTGTTGACCCCCCGTGCTAACTACTTGACCAAGTAGATACACGCATCACGTTTGCTTAGCGATGATGGCGATGATGCTGCCAATGATCATTATTAACGGGTGACCGCATAAAGTGGCGCAGCTATTGGGTGTGCAGGCAGTGTAGCTGCGCCGTGGGGCCCAGGGGATTGAGTGGCCCAGGTGCTGGGCCACGAGCACGTTGGGGGATGGGTGGGAGGGTGGGAGGTGGACAGGGGGTAGGGGGTGGACAGGGGGGTTGGAGAGGTGGACAGGGGGGTGGGAGGGTGCACAGGGGGGTGGTGGAGGGTGGGGGGTGGACAGGGGGGTGGGAGGGTGGGAGGTGGACAGGGGGGTTGGGAAGGTGGACAGGGGGGTGGGAGGGTGCACAGGGGGGTGGTGGAGGGTGGGGGGTGGACAGGGGGGTGGGAGGGTGGGAGGTGGACAGGGGGGTTGGGGAGGTGGACAGGGGGGTGGGAGGGTGCACAGGGGGGTGGTGGAGGGTGGGGGGTGGACAGGGGGGTGGGAGGGTGGGAGGTGGACAGGGGGGTTGGGGAGGTGGACAGAGGGGTGGGAGGGTGGGAGGTGGACAGGGGGGTTGGGGAGGTGGACAGGGGGGTGGGAGGGTGGGAGGTGGACAGGGGGTGGGAGAGGTGGACAGGAGGGTGGGGTGGGGGAGGTGGACAGGGGGGTTGGGGAGGTAGACATGGGGGTGGGAGGGTGCACAGGGGGGTGGTGGAGAGTGGGAGGTGGACAGGGGGGTGGGGGGGTGGACAGGGGGGTGGTGTGGGGGAGGTGGACATGGGGGTGGGAGGGTGGACAGGGGGGTGGTGCAGGGTGGGAGGTGGACAGGGGGTGGGCGGGGGGTGCCCATTTCGTTCCTCACACACAGGGCCCACGCCAGGCACGCCACGCCGCTGATGTGGTGACAACTTTTTTGTTATGGAAGCCCCTTTTAGAAGAGACAGCTCCCCCCCCCTCCCAAACGTGTATTTCCATGGCTTCCTAAAATATAAAACATATATAACTAAAAAATATATACGCAAGTGTATACATTAAAAAAAATGATATTTTATATATCTAAATATATATGTAACAATATATTGAGATGTTGTTTTGCCTGGATGCTTGCGTACACGCCACCATTGTGAGAAGTGGGAGTTTATCTTCTTGGTTCTTTCGGTAAAATCACGTAGAAGGGAAATAATAAAATGATAAAAATAAAACATAATAAAATACAATTGTATTTTATTATGTTTTATTTTTTTTATTTATTATCATAATAAAATACAATTGTATTTTATAATGTTAAATTTTTATTATTGTATAATTTCCCTTCTACGTGACTTTACCGAAAGAACCAAGAAGATGAATCCCTGCAGTCACGAAAGCTTTAAATCGAAATTTAAGTGGGAGTTTATTGCGCTAAATCGCGTAACATTTACCCTCGTGGTAGCACAATGACAACGACAGCGAGTGGTGTTTGCCATTGTGCTATCACCACACTTTCCCACTGCCGTCAGCCCTGCAGCGGTCGTGACGAGGAACGCGGTGTTTGGCGATGCTGGCCCGTGAGCTGCGCGCATGTTGTTCATTTCGCCACGTGGATTGAAGACGCGACAAACGTGGAGGAAGAAAATGTAACGCGAGGCTGAGGAGCGTGCAAGGGTAGCGAGCATGGAGAGAGGTGCGCGTGGTTGGAGTTCGACCGAGGGACGGGAAGTTGGAACACGTGGGTTAGAGAAGTGGGTCTCGACCTCTGTGGTCAGCGGCATGCTGGTGGCCTGCGAGATCTTAGGAAGTGGTGTGCGGAAACTTTGCAGGCGCATCCGTGGTAATCAGGAGGGGTGGTACTTATGACTCATATACATTGCCTTACATGCTAATATTCCTTTTGATCTAAGAGGATGAACAAGACCGTACAACAATGAGACGGTGCTCGCGAAAACAAAACTACGTTGACTCTTGCGTGGAGTTTGTGAAAAACCAAATCAACCTGCCGTGATTTGAGGGATGCTCAGCGAAAATTGTCCTGATAATCCGCAAAAAAATGGAATTGACCAAACGGCGTCGTCTGTTGAGTTGGAAGATGAAATGTGCGCGTGGGCAGATGGCGCCCTTAACACGACCGCAGGTGGATTGTACGGACTGCCAATGGAGATAGAATGTGTTATATCTTAAATATTGATACAGGGATAAGTTGCAGATGAATACATTTTTGGACATCCGAGCCCCCTCCCTTCACCCCCCTCGCACTGGCCAGCGTGGTGAAGTATGGTCAAACAATCCCCCCCCTCCCCCCCCCCCCCACATTACTGAAAATAATGGAGAGGACTTCATGTAGCAGTGAAATGATACAATACTTAAAATAATGCTTTTTGTTATTTTGAAGGATTTTTTAATTCGTATTTCCAATCAAATAAAAAAATATACAATTTCAAATGAGAATAAAGTTTAGATTTTATTTCAACATTCGTAAAATATAGTATTTTTTATTTATTTCACATACATTGAATGAGAAAGCTATTGCAAGCAATTAGCATCACAAAATAATCTTAACTGCAACAAAAGGCATAATCAAAACAAGGAATGATCTTGAAACAAAACAACATCAATCATTAACAGATATACACATCATACAGAGCGAATAACCCTTCGTCAAAGACACGTTCCAAAAATGTAATCTCGTGACCAGATGTCAAGGGGGAGTCGTGGTGGCGCAATGATTCACACACTGCACTATGAACCTGCTGACCCCAGTTCAATCCCGAGCCACGGCTAACGGCGGTGCCGAGTGATATCCGAACCGGTCCTGGGCGCCCCCCCCCCCCCTCCAGCCCCCTTCACCACCAACCTGAACACGACCAGCGTGGTGAATGGTCAAATAACCCCCGTGGCCCGAGAAAGTGTGGAGGAAGGCGTCGTTCCCGAGGGCTGCTGTGCGTTTGCGACTGACCAACATCGGCACACTACGGATTGCTCTCCCGGTGTTGTAAAGTCTGCTGCCAATAGTTGATTGTGACCTTCCGCATTGCCTGGATGTATTTTCTCTCACCCGGAATCTGTGTGTTTGTCTTGCTGTATACCGTGGCTACATTGTAATGTTTAAACATTGGCTGAATAGTATTTCCCTTGCTGAGGGGCTGATTGAGGACTTTCAAATACCTTTGGTGGGCAACCACACACACACACACACCCAAGTCTCTTCTGTTACTGCAACTGGCCCTTCTAAGTCACTGCAAGAGGCCCGAGCAGCAAAATAAGTGACTGAGCGTTGAACTAACATTAGAAACTCAGTGTTGATGCCAGGTGAAAAATATTCCCCTCGAGTACCCAATTAATCGAGATAAGATGATTGCAGTGATAGAAAAAAAAGTTAGTGGATCATTTATATTTCCTGCCAAACCGCAATTCGTAGGACTCGCAGTCAAAATTGTCTCCCAAGTGGCGATGTTAACACATGTCACCAGGTACTCATTCGAGGGAAGCTGAGTCGACCTAGAGGAGGCCCGGGACCGGTTCAGAGAATCGTCACCGGTGTTGGCCCGTGAGCGTCAATGGAACTGGGGTCGCGACCACGCCAGAGGAGACGCGGCAGCGACGACGGCGACGGTGACGATGCCGGTGTGTGCTGAGATCAGCGTGGGCCTCAAGACGAGCGGGACAGCTCTCCACGGGGGGGGGGGGGGGGGGCAGCAGTCGCGGGGCGGACCACGTGGAACGACTCCCGCATCGACTTCGGCACCCAAAGTCGGCAGGTCAAGGGTTGTTCAAGCTGGCCACGTGGCGGTGAGCCACGATGCGGAGACCGACCGTGCTCGACGAAGGCCCCCTGCGCTGTGCGAAAATCTCGCAGCGAGCGAGCTGTGAGCGCTGGAAAGGGCATTTGACTTTGGTGGGACGGGCGCTAAAAGCAAGACGAAGCGGGTCATTTTAAAGCGTCGAGCCCCGCGTTGGCGGTCGAGGTCGTGTTGAAATGAAGTGACGCGCTGGGTAGGTTTAGGGCATCGCACGCAAATAAATGCGCGGACATTCCAAAGTCAACTATTCGAGGCAAACTAAAGTGTTGCACTGAAATGATTGCATGCATTTCTGTCAATCAACTTTGACAAATTTATTCTAGATTTGAAGCTTTCGTGACTGCAATGATTCATATTCTTAGGTTTTTTTCGGTAAAGTCACGTAGGTAAAAAAAATAAAATTAAAATTAATAAAAGTAAAAAAGTTAAAATTAATAAAATAGAAATCACGTCATGATTTTTATTTTATTTTTATTTTACTTTTATTAATAAAAAATTTACCTACGTGTCTTTACCGAATAAACCTAAGAATTTGACAAACTGAATTGATCATAATCCATTTTTGTTACGTTTTAAGTAGTTGCAAGCGGATTTTTGTTGTTGTTGTTGTAAATAATGTAATTGTGTTATCCCATAAGAAGAACTATGGGGGCCTGGCTGAGTTCACAATATATTTTAATGAATGCTTAATCACTTTATATAATCGAGTTGTGCAACCTGTGCACAATTTACTTTAGTTTTCTACGCCAGGATGAATTTTCACGGTGCTTCTCCAACTCAACGAGCTTCACATTCTTTCCCCCACGTTTACCACCTGTCAGATGTTGGGATTGCGACGACCTTCGGCAATTTCGCTGGAAAAGATCGGTGAACGTGGAAAGGTAGACCAATGTTCGGGTGGTGAAGGTTTTGGAATTCCTGTGTAAGCAAACCGTTTTTCTCGTGAACATAAAGCAACGAGTTCAAATCCCATTGCGAGACTGCTCGCTAAAGATATTTGCCTCAACTATATTGCCAAAGGGACCCTTTTTAACCAAATAAAAATAATAATGTTCTGTAAAGCCAGGAAAGATATTAACAGCACACTTGAGGACATCTCTTCATTTTTTTTATCTCTCAAAATTTGGCCCAAGATGGAAAACTTATGTTACAGTGTGCCACTGAGTCCGATACTTGGCCACACTGGCAGAGCCTTTCCGGATCCCTCTGTTCCCAGAACCCTCACAATTTATCACTGCGCAGTTTGGATTCCCAGCAGCAGTTTGAGATTCGTGTTGTTTTCAGCTTGAATTCTTTCGACAAAGAGCACTGCTCCGGGCTGTAATGGGCTGTGATGATTTGGTAGCAGGGCCATAACTCTTTTTTTTCTTTTCCCAATCACCAAGGGAGACTAAACGTTTTCAGCTTAAACTTTGGTCCAAGGGTATTTAAATTTCCACAGAAAGAGAGGCTAGTTGTTATCCCCCCCTCGCCCCAAATCTTTTTTTTTATTAATTCCTTCTCCTTTTCCATACTTTCAGCCACCTTTCCATCAATTCCGTTAGTTTTTTTATTATTGGTAAACGTTAGTCCAATTAAGCTGTTTGCAAGTTATCTCGGCAGTAAGCTTCTCGACTCAGCTGTACGAAAAGACACGTGTATTGTTAGTATTGCTTTAACAAAGCAGGCGATGACAAACCGCACACCTGTGAACTTCGATCTACTCTGTGACATCGGAATGAGGGAGGAGGAGTTAAACCGAGTGTACGATTACATTATCGCCAAAAGGTAGTTTTTACTTTTATGATGATGTGGGAATCGACGGTGCGCAATATATTAGCTGGCACCCCATGATGACAGGTCCCGCCTCTTCAGGGGCATATGTGACCCATCTGTTCGTAAACCACTTCACTCAAACCTAATAAAACCTCAAACATAAAGTGTTGGGCCAAAAATCCCAGACAAGTTTGTTTCTTAATGTTTACTGTGAAACGGTCCGAGCACCTGGCGTTTTAAGGCCCACTCGCACACTCGGGCAAGTGTTCCCTGGCTGGTGGCAGCGCTTCTTGTACTAAAAAACAGGACTTGTACATTTTATTGCAGAGGCAAGTCAGGCACGACAACATTGCAATACCAGAACCAACGCATTCAAAACAACACGATTGAACGGCGACGTCAATCATCGCTCCACGTCAGGTAACATGAAGCACTTAAAAACCTCGCGACCTATAAATCAGCCAGCTGATCATCGGGATAACCGCCACCGGCTGAAGCCGGGGGAAAGTTGTTGCTGGCGACAATGGAACAGCAAATAAATCAGAAGACTAAGGAAAAAATCCGCGTCCGTGCACGGGCACACTTTGTTCCAGCGCTTGGCCAAAATGCGTTGCAGGGTTTTTGTTGTTGTTGTACTTCGTCAGTCTGCGATGGTACGCAGGGCAGGTTTCTCACGCACGTCAGAGGTCCTCCAGGAAGTGTCGTTCACTGTAGAAGGGCTCTTAGTGCCGGCTCCAACAGACGGAGGTTCAAATGTCCACGGCAGGAGGATCACTTGACCCCATGCACCGTTAGGGGTCACCCAGTAGCGCGTGTAGCGTGGTTGGCACGGGCCCTGGCGCAAGCAGTGAAATGGGGCCCTCCACGTACGCGTCCGCATTTTTCCTTCTTCGTATCTCCGAATTTGGGCCCCGTCAAGCCCACGGGGCGCCGGTGCAATTGCACCGCCTGCGCACTCGGCAGCTACGCCGCTTTGGTGGTGACAAAGATGCACGCGCGTTCGCGATCACCCGCGGTGAGGTACCATGTGTCACGGGAGTCCGTTGCGTCAACATTTTATACCTTCCTCTCTATTCGCGAGCGTCCGCAAACTGCTGTGGGTTTCCGAGAAAGGTAGCGTCCGTCCAGGTCATCGCTGGCTGCAGCCTTTTCTAGGAGCATCCCTGCCCTGCCAAGAAACCCACAAACACACACATGCAACAGACACAAAGACACTTTACGACGGCTGCAGTTGTGTCACCAAAGGCGTGGACGTGCGTTTTGGCTCTTGTGCTATCGGTTGTCGTTCCTATGCCATTGTTTCAGAGTGAGGCCTTCAAATTGTCCTTTGGCAAGGAAGACTTGTACAAAACTCGGTGTCAATCAGTTCAGCGCAGATGCTCAAGCGATCTGACCCAAACGCACCGCGCCACACGCACGAAGAGCAATCACATGGCAAAAGCAAAATACATCGCTGTTGTTGACATACGGCGAGTTAATTCGCGTTTTAAAAGAGCTTGTAAATGTACACAGGAATACTACAAACACGAAAAACATATTTCCTCGCAATCTTCATTATAATGAAGGACCCAGATACCAATACACTTACGAAACAATTATATTATTAAATGACAGCCCCCCCCCCCCCCCCCCTTTCTCAATGCACTGGAAGACGGTGGCCTTTCCAATTATTTTCGGTCTTGGGGGTTGCTTGACCATACTTCACCATGCTGGTCAGTGTGGGCTGGTGAAAGTGGCAAAGGGGCCAAGATCCGTTGAGATTTCACTCGTCACTGATGGCAGCCGTAGCACGGTACCGCACTCGCCATCTGAATCTTGCAGTGTTCCAACCGCTGCACCACCGCTCCAATCCCCGTGTACTTATGTAAACGTTATACTGTACGACAAATTAATAAAAGCAATTTTGCATTTACCTGTTTTAAAACAGGTGTTGTAATGAAAAGAGATTCATGTTTTTTGCTTTTGACATTAAAATCAAACCTTCCATCTCATGAAATGTGTGTTCTCCGTGAGACGTCATTAATACATCATTTTTTGTTTTGTTAGTATAAAATTTCCCGTGAAAATGGGGTGTGTATGATGCGAGATTGTCTAGTGGCGGTGTGAGACTACGCTAAGGGTGGTCTTGCACCGCAAAACACGCGAGTCCAGTCTATAGCCGGACCACCGTACTCGACTCCGTAAAATACATGCGCACCGTTGACTTATCAGTGGGAGACCGGTTAGAGTGGCGTAGCTATCGAGTGTGCAGGCGGTGCAACAGCAACCAGGGTGCACGGGACCGCAGTACCCAGACGACTGACACGAGGGCTGGCTTGCAAATGTCCACGACCGACGATGATGATGATGACCATGTTGGCGGCTGTGAACATTGAAACTAACCCAATGTTCACAACACCCTACAGAGCTGTGTTCTTCACCGATTTTCAGAGGTGGGGCCACTTTCACCGAAAAGACATCAGGGGTTTGACAGCATGATGGGGGGGTGGGGGGTCTTTTCACATTCGTGTATTGTCGGGGGCCCGCACATCAGAGGCCGCACTAAAGGCCACCAAGGGGGCCGCCAATGGCAATGAAGAACACCGATCTACAGAGAGTTGGATCGATTGCTTTGCCCTTTGCCCTGTGCACGATGTACACGGCGGAGCTCACGGCAAGGTGTGTCCCCCACGTGTCGTCAGTGCCCCCTGATGAACCCGGCCCATAGTGGTTACTGTGCGGGGTTCACAAACAGCGAGGGGAAAGATCCGCGAACGAAAGACAAAGCAGCGGGCGCAACAAAGTGTACCGAATGTTCATGACAAAGAAGACAATGAACTCTCGCATCGTCTTAACAGACTTCGAGGGCAAGTGCCGCATTTGTCTCCTCCCCAGTGGCTATGTTCCACACACACCGCACCAGGTACTCGTTTGAGGTTGAGTCGACCTAGGTGCGGCCCAGGACCGGTTCAGATAATCGTCTCTGGTGTTCGTGGCCGTGGGCGGGAATCGAACTCGGGTGGCCGGGTTCGTCGCGCAGCGAGCTTAACCGCTGCACCACCGCTCCCCAAGCAGAATACTGATATGAATTAATACATCCATCATCATCATCAGCCAAGGTCAGTCCATTGCTGGATGAAGGCCTACCCAAGCGTTACACACGAGCCGATTTCATTGCTCTATCTCCTAAATGTATCGCGTGTTCCATTCCTTGGATGTCATTCCGTTATTATTCTTGACCATATGCATGAGTACACATTGAAAAATATGACGAGTACATCCAGGCATGTTTGATTTTGTATGTCACGCTATAGGAGGCTCAGTGGTGCAGTGATTGGCGCATTGCGCCATGAATGCCGCCGACCTGAGTTTGACTGCCGGCCACAACTAACTGTTGATCTTCTTGGTTCTTTCGGTAAAGTCACGTAGAAGGGAAGTAATAAAATAATACAAATAAAACATAATAAAATTTATCTCACGACGTTTCGGCTACAACGCAAGCAGCCGTCTTCAGGTGAAGAATGAGACACTGCCAAGCTTGGAGCTTATATATAAGCTGGGTTGGAGGTGGAAGAAGAGCGCCTTAACAAAAGAATGTGCATATCAAGAGGAATTTAGCATATTCATGGGAAATGAGTAGGAGGTGGGCGGGGGGGTTTCAAAGTCATATTATGCCCATGCATTATGCAGGATCAGCAGCATCAAAGGGAGGGGGTAGGGGGTAGCATTAACAAAGGGAAGATCCTGAGCCTCCTCCTTTACCAACCTGCGTTGACCAGCGTGGTGAAGTATGGTCAAGGAACCCCCACAACCGACGCAATAGTTTATTAACAAATGAGAATTACACTATATACGCCATGCATGTTATATTTACATAATACTGCATACATTTCATTCGCCGTTGGTGTTATGTATTAAACATATGTACATCCCTATAGGCATGCAGCTCTTGGCCGCTCAGTATTATATTCCTAACCTCTGACACTGCAGTGCTTGCACACCCCCACGGGTCACCTTAGGTCACACAAATGCACATGTAAATCATCCTACGGACTGAGCTCAGATTTCAATGGACGGAGAACCGACTGAGACGAGGCAAACACAAATTAGCTATCTTCTTGGTTCTTTCGGTAAAGTCACGTAGAAGGGAAGTAATAAAATAATAAAAATAAAACATAATAAAACAATTCTCACGACGTTTCGGCCACAACGCAAGCAGCCGTCGTCAGGTGATAACCAGGTCTGTCGAGGCGACAGCGTCTGACAAATTAGCTAATTTAAAAAAAATCCATAGACTGGTTTCTGAATGATACACACAGAGATAAACACGTGCACACACACACACTCTCTTTGGCGGGGGCTGTAATTAATAACTGGGTAATTGTTATTGCAATGGATCTGGGTCGAGTGTAGTTAGGCACGGGAGGGAGGGTTTGGATCATCACCCTCCCGGGGATAATGGGGTGCCCCGTGTCACGGTGGCAGCTGTGGGAAGTTGTTTGGGAGTAAACCCCTGGCGTTACGTGAAGACAAACGAGCTGTCGACACTTGTGCCAACCGACTGTCCTGATCGTGATGATGATTGGATTGCGTGTTATGATGACCATGATGACGTTGATAATTATTGATCGATATATGAACGTGATGATGATTGGATTGCGTGTTATGATGACCATGATGACGTTGATAATTATTGATCGATATATGAACGTGATGATGATTGGATTGCGTGTTATGATGACCATGATGACGTTGATAATTATTGATCGATATATGAACGTGATGATGATTGGATTGCGTGTTATGATGACCATGATGACGTTGATAATTATTGATCGATATATGAACGTGATGATGATTGGATTGCGTGTTATGATGACCATGATGACGTTGATAATTATTGATCGATATATGAACGTGATGATGATTGGATTGCGTGTTATGATGACCATGATGACGTTGATAATTATTGATCGATATATGAACGTGATGATGATTGGATTGCGTGTTATGATGACCATGATGACGTTGATAATTATTGATCGATATATGAACGTGATGATGATTGAATTGCGTGTAATGATGACCATGATGACGTTGATAATTATTGATCGATATATGAACGTGATGATGATTGGATTGCGTGTTATGATGACCATGATGACGTTGATAATTATTGATCGATATATGAACGTGATGATGATTGGATTGCGTGTTATGATGACCATGATGACGTTGATAATTATTGATCGATATATGAACGTGATGATGATTGGATTGCGTGTTATGATGACCATGATGACGTTGATAATTATTGATCGATATATGAACGTGATGATGATTGGATTGCGTGTTATGATGACCATGATGACGTTGATAATTATTGATCGATATATGAACGTGATGATGATTGGATTGCGTGTTATGATGACCATGATGACGTTGATAATTATTGATCGATATATGAACGTGATGATGATTGGATTGCGTGTTATGATGACCATGATGACGTTGATAATTATTGATCGATATATGAACGTGATGATGATTGGATTGCGTGTTATGATGACCATGATGACGTTGATAATTATTGATCGATATATGAACGTGATGATGATTGGATTGCGTGTTATGATGACCATGATGACGTTGATAATTATTGATCGATATATGAACGTGATGATGATTGGATTGCGTGTTATGATGACCATGATGACGTTGATAATTATTGATCGATATATGAACGTGATGATGATTGGATTGCGTGTTATGATGACCATGATGACGTTGATAATTATTGATCGATATATGAACGTGATGATGATTGGATTGCGTGTTATGATGACCATGATGACGTTGATAATTATTGATCGATATATGAACGTGATGATGCTTGGATTGCGTGTTATGATGACCATGATGACGTTGATAATTTTTGATCGATATATGAACGTGATGATGCTTGGATTGCGTGTTATGATAACCATGATGACGTTGATAATTATTGATCGATATATGAACGTGATGATGATTGGATTGCGTGTTATGATGACCATGATGACGTTGATAATTATTGATCGATATATGAACGTGATGATGATTGGATTGCGTGTTATGATGACCATGATGACGTTGATAATTATTGATCGATATATGAACGTGATGATGATTGGATTGCGTGTTATGATGACCATGATGACGTTGATAATTATTGATCGATATATGAACGTGATGATGATTGGATTGCGTGTTATGATGACCATGATGACGTTGATAATTATTGATCGATATATGAACGTGATGATGATTGGATTGCGTGTTATGATGACCATGATGACGTTGATAATTATTGATCGATATATGAACGTGATGATGATTGAATTGCGTGTAATGATGACCATGATGACGTTGATAATTATTGATCGATATATGAACGTGATGATGATTGGATTGCGTGTTATGATGACCATGATGACGTTGATAATTATTGATCGATATATGAACGTGATGATGATTGGATTGCGTGTTATGATGACCATGATGACGTTGATAATTATTGATCGATATATGAACGTGATGATGATTGGATTGCGTGTTATGATGATGACGTTGATAATTATTGATCGATATATGAACGTGATGATGCGGATTTATGATTGTCAATCGTTCATAAACGATGTTGGTTGATGTACAGTGTTACGATGATTGATGTGTGATAATTATTTTTATAATCGATCATGAAGATGATGGATGGATTATCATGGTAGATGTGTGTCATGTATTATTATGATTAATATGAATATGTATGACTGAGCATGCTTAATTACTGATAATAATTCATGTGTATTATTAATAATGGTGATGTTAATGAAGACGCTAATGATGATGGAGATGAATGTGTATTATTGATGATTGCTAATTGATTATTATATCAGCACACATTGATATTTGCCATATTGTGGTGGTGATGATGTTGATTATATCAGCCCGTATTGGTTCCCTTACACTCTTACAGGGCTTCCCAAACGTTACGTGGCCATGTGTACCACTCAGCACCTTCACCGTGTCATGAGCCCGACTGCCATGATCATGCTGGGACATTGAAGAGCGCTTTTAAATGGAACGAATATCCTCGTATCGTCCTATGAAATAAGCTAAAAACTTTAGCGCTTAAGCAGGTGCACATTTGAACTATGTAATGTTGAGCTCTGTGATACTAACACACACTATATTGTTCGTATAATCGTTACATTTGAATAATAAGATAAATACGGAGTATGTCTCCGTCTCTGTAAATAAAAAATCATGTATTTCTTAAACAACTCATCAGCCGCATTGTCCTTCCTGATAGCAGTGAATAGTATCAGCAGCATCAAGGTAAGCAAACTCTAGGCCGGTTTCGACAGTGTCTCATCAGTCAGGTTTGCTTGAATCAACGCTGGTGAAATGCTTGTCATTATAGACAAGGACCCTAACCAAGGCCGTAATTATAATATATTATAAAATATTATAAAATATATATTATAATATATATTGGGGGGGGGGACACACATACACCCCCCCCCCCCCAATATTCAAATATGCTCAAAATGTCCCCCCAATATATTGCAATAAAATAGATTTCTGTTTATATGATTTTGGTTATGGTTGTACTTTATTAATTTCTAATCTCTGCCATTACATACAAATAAACAAGAAAAGGTAAAAAACTAAAAAAACAGAACAATGGAATACAATACACTATTAGACATTATTGTAAAAAATAAATAAAAAGTCCATCCTATGTGTTAGTGAATTTTAAAAAATTTTAGGCAGGAAATTCGTTTTCAAATTTAGATTTTTTTTCTGGGGGGGGGAACCCCCAGACCCCCTGGAAGATTTGGTCCCCCCCAATGTTGACTCCATGGCTACGGCCTTGACCCTAACCCCTTACAATACCGGTTGTCAGTTGGGCGCAAAAAGTTACATCGTGATACACAACTTAAAAGATTCATTAGAGTCGTTGTGAAGAATATAGCTAAGTTAAATTAGCAGACAATATGTTCAGTGATGTATCAACGTTGTAATAACCGCATAAAATGATGTAGTAAATTGGCAAATTATGTTCTTTTGGTCTTTCGGTAAAGTCACGTAGATAGGTTCAAAGAAGACAATTGCTTGTGTTGCGATCGAAACGTCGTAGTTTTTGTTACGTATTTTCTTTCAACATATCTACGTGACTTTACCGAAAGACCCAAAGAGTATGAATTCCTGCAGTCACGAAAGCTTTAAGTCAAGATTTGACTGCCAAATTATAATTATCGGGACACTTTGCGTAACCCTTTTAATATTTAAATGTGCATGTACAATGTAGGTATTGTACTATTCACATGCTTGTATGTTGCATCGACAGGGCCCTGTAGTTTAGAGATTGTGCTCTGACCAATAAAATCTGGTGAACCAGCGATATTTGTTCCGGAAGCCTGACTACTGATGAGACCTAGAAGGTCAAAATCGGTCGAATGTTTCATGTTTTTATACTTAGAACAAATGCCGCTGGTTAATATACAGTACGTTTAGAAGGCCGATGAGGCTAAACACACATTTTATTTTTTGGGGAGATGGGACAGAGAAATTAATTTATTTCTGTTTTGCTTTAACGGTGTACGATGTGTACTGTATATTGATGCATATATATCTACATTGAAAGTTACATCATTAACTAATGATCATTTTATAGTTCCCAAATTTTAAGTGTTACCGGCTGTCCATCGTAAACACAACCCCACTCACTATATGAACGTATTGTTGTTATATTGAGGTCACACCGCTACGGAGATGGAGCGATGTGCAGGGACGAGACGGATTGTGGCATTCATGCAGCAGTGGATTGATCATGGCTGCTGCTGATGATGATAGGACATACAGACCTCTTAACTGTTATAAAACAATTAGTTAGCGATGTATTGTATGAGATTACAAAAAGCCTCTTTGCGTAGGCCCTATACTGTTTCGACCGTGTATATATCGTATTCATCATCATTGCAAGCAGGTGATGAGGCATAGGTTTAAAAAGGTTCCTCTACCATCGACAACATACAGACTGTCAATCAGATTGCGGGAATGACGAATGAGTCTCAAGCACCTTTACACGGTTTATGTATCTCATTACAACGAATCTAACGCCTCACAAAAACGTGTGTTCACAAGTGATAACAGTTGTATTAATTAGTGAAATGTGTATGCTTAGAAGTGTTAGTTGCATACACATTCACAAGAACTACTAAACAACAATACTATAATTATATGAAACACTTATCATAAAGTTTGAGACAAGTCGGTCAGCAACCTTATAATAATGTGTGTACGTATAAAGTCTGACAATTAGTAGTGTGGCATTGAAACATTTAAACACAGGTGTACACACAAACATGGCATTCACATGCATCGTTCACTCAACCTTCAATTAAAAATCGTACACGATGTGTCCCGTCTTGTAACGTAAAGAAACAACAACAGCTTAACATTATCGGGTAATGGCCCTGACTATGGAGTCCCAAGAAGGATCTGAATAGGGATAATTGCTCGAAACGTGAGTTGTATATTTTGTGGTAAAAGACAATGTTCGTAAAACATGTGCACCATTGCAATGCCCTCCAGGTTCACCTTTTGAGTTAAGCATAAACGCACACAGAGGTGAAAACATGTGAACACACAAACACATATACCTCGAGCACTAACACATTTACAAATAATTTGCATACTTCTTTTCAATCGACTGCTGGATGAAGACCTCCTTAAGCGGCACCGGTTCTGGGGTGGGGTTGCTAGACTGTTTGACCATACTTAACCACGTCGGTCAATGCGGCCAGGACCTTGCTCAGATATCACTTGCCACTGATTCTATCCGTAGCGGGGAATCGAACTCGGGTCGCCGAGTTCGTAACACAGTGCGGTAACCACTGCCCCACCGCCTCTACTGCAAGCACGACTCACTTTCAGCCCAATGTCAATTCACTGCTAGGTGACGCCCTCCCCATGCCGTGTCGGTCACGAGGGTTGTTCACGGCTAACATCGGTGATAACTTAACGCCTCCTGAGCCCAACTTCCCATAAGCCACAGTGACCAGCGTGGCGAAGTATGGCCAAACAACCTCCAAGCATTTACACTATGAGACATCTCCTTTACCAGTGGAAAAATATAGTAATAGGTTTTTACCCTTTCAACTGGTACAAAAACTGACACCTTTATACAAGGGATCAACTTCAAGGACAGTGCATATAATTATCATTATCAGAGTTGCTTCTTTTTGTTTGCATTTTGACTGCTAGTGTTGTGGTTATTGCAAACATGATCCCTTGTATAAAGGTGTCAGTTTTTGTACCAGTTGAAAGGGTCAAAACCTATTACTAAACCTCCAAGCACTAAATGTTCGCACACCAAAAATTCGGGATGACTCGGTGGCGCGAAGGAACGTTTTGCGCGGTGCGCTATGAACCCGGTGACCCGAATTCGACATTCCCCAGACCACGGCCAACATCAACGGTGGGCAAATGCATTGGAAAGATGTGATTAACCATGCAAAAAAGATTTAACTACACTTATTTGGACCATCTTATTTGACAGACAACTATTACAGGTTATTGATAGACAGCCAGTTTTGTTTTACCAGGTTTAGTTTTTTCTTTTTTCACACTTTTGTTATGTAGGCTAGTCGTAGTCACAAACCGCACCTCTCCATAACAAAGGCTCAGTATTTTGTTATGCAGTTTATTCTTAGTCTTACGCCTCACCTTACCATATTAATAAAAAGTGTGCCGTACTTGGCCCTTCCCCTCTTCAACCATTATATATACGGAGTGGTAGCTCTTGTAATCTCTCATTTACTTGATACAGCTGTCGTGGCTGTGACGGTTCCACCTGAAGACGGAAGCTTGTGTTGCCTCCGAAACGTCGTGATTTTTATTTTATTTTTATTTTATTAATTTAAATTTTTTACCTACGTGACTTTACCGAAAAAACCTAAGAATATGAATCAGAACCCGGTCCCGTGCCCTTCTTCCCGTTAGTCATTACGGCACTCGTGACAGCACACAGCGACTCATAGAAATCCGCACCGCGTGCGAGGGCTTCATCTCACCACTCGGCGCTGGTCACTCAGACAGAAGGTGCAGATAATCCGCGGCTCCCCTGCGCAGATACTCGCCGCCGTCGCTGCCGCCGATGCTGTCGATCCCTGCATCGCTCGGGTGACCTGCACGCCTCCCCCTCCTCCTCCTCCGCCGTGCTGCTGCTGCTGCCCGCAAGGCTGCCCGGCCAGCAAGGTGTTGCCCAGGTGCGCGATGTAGCTTGATGCCAGCAGCAGCGTCTCCAGCTTTGAGAGTTTCCTGTCGGCCGGCTCGGTGGGGATGAGAGTCCGCAGAGCCGTGAAAGCGGAATTTACGGATTGCGTTCGGTCCCTCTCGCGGGCATTGGCCGCTCGCCTCTGCGGTCCGCACGGCACCATCACCTCCTGCTGCTGTTGCTGCTGCTGTTGCTGATGATGATGCTGCTGCTGCTGCTGCTGATGATGATGGTTATGATTGTGTTGCAGATGCAGGCTCGTGCTGCTCCACTGATGCGCGCGCCTCGCCGACTCCGTGCAGCTCAAGTCGTCTTGGCCAGGGTTGTTGCAGTCACCGATGTCTTCCTCGGAAGCGCCGCTGCTGTTGCTGTCTCCCGCATAGCCAGCAGCAGCTGCTGCAGCTGCGGCCACGGACTGCAGCTGGAGGTCGGTCTGAAGCAAGGGGCTTTGGTACAGCGCGGCGCGGAACATGGCTGCATTCAAACGCGAGAGGGATGATGATGGTGGTCGTGATGATAATGACAGTGCTGATGATGACAGCGATGATGGCACAAATGATCGTGATACTGCTGCCAATCGTTGGGAGTGATAACAATAACGACGAGGCTGTTAACGATAGTAAATGTTGACGATGATCTCAACGACAGAGCATCCGCGGTGCGATGCTAGAGAGTGGTGCGCGTGGTGCGACGCCGGTTGTGCCGTGAATTTATCCCCACACTCTCACACACGCACGCACGCACGTGCATCGACTTTCTCTAAGAGAGGGACTGTGAAGAGAGAGAGAGGGAGAGGGGGTCCCGGTGGCGGGGAGGGCTTGCGTTCACTGCCGCTGGGAGCTCAGTGGGGGGAGGTCAATATATAGATGGGGCTGGCCGGGCGAGCGTAGCACGGCTCCACGTGGATTCATCATCAGACACGTGTGTGAGGCCAGCCACGGGGTGACGTCTCGGTACGCTCCTCCAACGCCGTCTATAGCTTTGCGGTGGAGCGGAGGAACGCACGGTGGGGTGGGGGGGTAGTGCGCAAAGCAACGAACCCCAAGCAGCCCAAGTTCGATACCCGCATCAGGGTCACGAGCGTCATCGGTGACAATGATCATCCGAACCGATTCTGTGCGCACCACCCCCTCCCACCCACCCACCCACCACCACTCACTTTGCCAATCCGCACGAACCAGAGTGGGGTAAGCGTTGCCAAACAGCCACACACCCCCACGACGGATCCGGCGTGCGGAAGTCTTCGTCCAAAAAATTGTTTGGCTCAGATGTCCCACGGCACGTATGCAGAATAGGGGGGGTGGGGGTAGAGGCGGTGGTGCAGTGGTTAGCGCGTTGCTAACCACTGCACCGCCGAGCAGAGTTGGATTCCCGACCCATCAGTGTTGAGTCATATCTAAATCTGTCCTAGGGGGAGGGGGTGGGCTCAGACCCACCACGCTTGACCATCGTGGTGAAGTAAGATCAATAACAGCCCCGTGACCGACACAGCACGGGGTGGCCTTTATCCACTGGTGGATTGAGAACGGCTGGAATGTATAACTTATTAATTCAGACTCTGTCTCCTCGACAGACCTGTTCTCCACCTGAGGACGGCTACTTGCGTTGTGGCCGAAACGTCGTGAGAATTATTTCATTATGTTTTATTTTTATTATTTTATTATTTCAATTCTACGTGACTTTACCGAAAGAACCAAGAAGATGAATCCTTGCAGTCACGAAAGCTTTAAATCGAAATATAACTTATTAAGTGTTTTATAACTCTGCTCTCAGGGCACCTTGCTTGCGCTTAATTAACCATGATAACGTACACACACAACATATATACATGTAGAATGCTTAAAGTTGTCAGAGTTGCAGCACAATACGCCGTTGTACTATATATCTTATACGTCTATGCTACCCGCTTTCACCAACCCGCACTTACGCAGTGTGGTGAAGTATGGTCAAATTGTCCTCACGGTTGGCTACGCGGGGTATGAAAGAAGTTCAACATAGATTACATACGACACACACAGCGTGGGGAGGCCCTCATCCAGCAGTGGATTGTCTAAAGGGCTGTACATGTACAGCACTTATAGTCAGTTGGAGCCACTTAACACTCATAGTGAATAGTATTTATTTAATTCACCCCTTAATCACCACCGAACACGTTCAATCCGCTGTTGGATGGTCATCTCCCAAAGCCGCTGCCGCACTACTTTATAAAATGTTGAATGTGTCACTTATAATTAGTATTCAATATAATGTTTCACTGGGCCACTTGCATTGAAGAGTATTATAGCAACGTCTCAAGTATTTAAAGTATTTAGGGGTAATTTATTATTATATTTATAATTGCTCCCAATCAGGGCCGTCACCGTGATGTCGAAGCGCGGGGCCCCCCAAAGCACGGGGCCCAGGACGGTCGCCCTGATACGCCGTACCCCAGGGGAACGGTTCTGCTCCCATTTACAGAGAATTCCCATTTGTATTGAAGTCTTGAAAAGAAATGACAACTTCGTGGACTTAATGCACGTTCGCCTCGCTTCAGTTGAGAGATTGTGAAGTGCTGGTTGAGAGGATTATGAAGAGTCATTATAATATTACAGATCTACAATATGAATTTTTTTAGATAAGATACTCATGCTGTTAAAGAAAGGAAAGTGAATGTCTCATTATGCCTGCATCATAGGAAAGATGCTGAGCCTTTGAAGGCACAATAGAGTTGAACTTTCACTGGCAACCTTACCGGAGGACCCGGAGAAACATCCACGTAATAACGGGCAGAGAGAGTGAGAGACACGCAAACTCCAAATGTACAGCAGGCGTTAGGGTCGGGATCGAGCACACGAAACTCCTGTATACCAGGCGAGGTAGTTCCCATCTCACCACCGTGGCGTCCCTGAAGGCGGAGGGGGGGCACTGCGCTCTGAACCCGGCCATCTGAATTCGATTTCTGACCACGGCTAACATCAGTGGTGAGTGACATCTGAACCTGTCCCTGCTGCCTCCATCCCCCCCCCCCTTTCCCACCCCTTCATCAACCCGCACTGAACAACGTGGTTGGTGATGAGTGGTCAAACAACTCCCGTAACCAACACGGCATGGGGAGGTATTTAATCCAGCTTTGGATTGACAGAGTATCTTGCAAGAGTAACTTAACGGACTGAAAATGCATCGTGACTCTACGTAGCGTGCGGGAGGCCGACATTATATAATTATTACTTTTAAGGCACTGATATCTTGACGATAACTTGAGAGTATGTTTTTATTTATTTATCCCATGAGTGAAGCTTTGAACTCGTGTTGGACAACCAAGAGGCGAGTATGTACAAGATAACACATGTCCTCTCATGTGTTTTCGGGTTGTCCCCGCATGTTGTTCCGAATTATATCCAACGTTTCGCCCCACGTGCTAGGGAGCTGCTCCTTCGGGAACGGAATTGAAGATTAACGCGTCGGCTTTCGCGACCAAAATCATCCATAATACAGGGTGTTTTAATTATATTCTTAGGTTTTTTTCGGTAAAGTCACGTAGGTAAAAAATTCAAATTACAATTAATGAAAGTAAAATAAAATAAAAAATAAAATAAAAATCACGACGTTTCGGAGGCAACACAAGCTTCCGTCTTCAGTTGGAACCGTCACAGCACGCTTGCTGTTAAATATATTAACGTCGTTAAACCCGCCACCACCCGACACAGATAATTAGTAAGGGTTGTCATGTAAACAGAACCTGCCAATTCGTTACGAGTACAACACACCGGTATGTTGGAGAGCAATACCACAACATTTACAATATTAGTCCGACGTTTCGTTCATAATGATTAAGCTAGTTGTAATTACTGGCGAAACGTCGTACTAAGATCTTAAATGTTGTGGCTTTGCTCTCCAACACACCGGTGTGCTGTACTAGCAACGAATTGGCATGTTCTGTTTAAACGACAACCCTTACTAATTGTTTGTGTCGGGTGGTGGCGGGTTTAACGACACATTTATATATTTACGCGATTTAACCCAAAAAAACCTGCATGATGGAATTAAAGATGCTCTCATCACATTGGATATCGTTCCGACCAACACGCGATACAACCAAAAGACACTGCAGAGAAGCTATTCAACACAAGCGCGAAAACCTCTACGCCTTACCGGAGCTTATTTTTATTTAATCTCAGGCTACGTCTTGCTTTTAGGGACCCACATATGAAGTCTCCCTTGATGCAGTGGAGTTCGCCCAATTCATCCACGGTGGCTTCTGACGGCGTGTGTCGTTTTATGACCCCCGTGTTAAGTACCGTTGATGAGCCCCTTCAGCTGAACAAACATCATCACCAACATCAGCGACCACCACCACCACCACCACGACACCCCCGTCACACGTTCCTTGCCCGTGGAATGCAAATCCTGTCAAAACAGACACTCAGCGCTCCACTCAGTTCTCTGCTCCGTGCTCCGCTCCCATGATGTGCCGCACTCACAATGGACAACTGTGGAAGGGGGCGAAATTTCAAGGGGTCGGCAACCAATATAACACGAGGCATTTTTTTTTAATTCGGTAAATAAAAACAACTCAATATGTCCAGAGCCGCAATGCACTGTGTGGTAAAATCCTAGACGGCGGTCCTTAATAAATGACGCTCACGAAGCAGCAGAACTTACAAGAGCCGCATGCGGCTCTGGAGACGCGGGTTTCGCCGACCCCTGAACGAATGCGATGCTTTTCGATTTAAAGCTTTCGTGACTGCAGGGATTCGTCTTCTTGGTTCTTTCGGTAAAGTCACGTAGAATGGAAATAATAAAATAATAAAAATAAAACATAATAAAATAATTCTCACGACGTTTCGGCCAGAACGCAAGCAGCCGTCCTCATCATTCAGACTCTGTCTTCTCGACAGACCTGTTCTACACCTGAGGACGGCTGCTTGCGTTGTGGCCGAAACGTCGTGAGAATTATTTTATTATGTTTTATTTTTATTATTTTATTATTTCCATTCTACGTGACTTTACCGAAAGAACCAAGAAGATGAATGCGATGCTTGTCACACGCCATAGAATATTACAAATCATTCACTCAAAGCGTTCTAAGGAAGCGAATTGTTCGGTGATGTGATGCAGCCGCGTTTGGCAGTTGTGCACAAGCACAGCGAACACGAGCAAACTCATCCGTGCGGTCTATTGCTCAATTCACTATGAACACTAATGTTCGCCACAGATGGGAATCAAACTCTGCTTCTGAAGTCGCAGAAAATTCATAGCGCAGCACGCGAACCACTGCGCAACCACCGTATGTCGCCTGTACTGTATCATAAACAACGTGACCACGCGCTAGGTACAATTAACACGTTCGTGTAAATTGTCGTGACAAGTGTAGTCGACTTAATGCCACTTAAACAAGTGTATCGGCGACTAAAAGGGAATTAGGATACCCTTGTCGAACACAGCAGGAGTCATTGTCACAACCGCGCAAGATTGCATTTCTTAGCGTATCGTGAGCGCGTGTTTTATCTGGCGTATATGCTGCATCATCATCATCATCATCGGCCATGGTCAATCCACTGCTGGATGAAGGCCTTCCCCAAGCCGCCACCAACTCTCATGATCCTGCGATGCACACGAGTTGATTTCACTGCTTTCAATCCACACAGCAACTGTTCACCGCATACTCCGTATGCACGCGGCAGAGAAAAGCGCGATAGTTTCATTCCACCATTGGAACCTCATTTGCCAGTAAAAAATATGATAATTGTTTTTTTAACCCTTCTATCTGGCAACAAAACTGACACCTTTTTTACAAGGAGTCATGTTTGCCACAATACCTGCAGCCATAATGCAAACAAAA